ATTCTGTGTAACCCACACAAAAACTAAATACCACAGAAACCCAGTCACGTAACTAAGTCACATCTCAAGACTTTAAATTTTCATTTATTTAGTTTTCACTACTCTGCTTTCCAAGAATGAAGTATGATTTGAAAGCCATTGCTGTGGTCCTTATTTTCCAGACCTATTTTTCATGTGAGATTGGGGTGGAAAGAGGTACGTGTATTTGCACCTCCAGATTTTTGGGCAGCTGATTTGATTTTTTCCCAATTAAGGTGGTGAACAAAGAGGGTGGTCTGAAAGCGAGACAGAGCCAGGCTCAAATCTTGGCCAGGCAGCTCCCAACTGTGACGCAGGGTGAGAGACTGTTGGTGCCTCCCGGAGCTCAGTGTGCTCCTCCATGAGACGGGGTGATGACACCTACCTCAAAGGGTGCCGAGGGGTGAGTAAGGTCAGGAAGCAGAGAGCTTAGTGCAGGAATGAGCAGGCAAAGACCACAGGGCAGAAATCTGCAGAAAGGAGAGACAGCGAGAGGAAGCAAAGAGGTAAAGAAATGAAAGACCAGAAAGAGAAGCTCGCCTGGCTGCTGAAAGTGCTCAGTGCCCTCTCCCCATCTGGGGTTGGATGCGCCTGCCTCAGTGGGTTCCTGTCCCCACCACCTTCAAGCCAACCGGATATGCACAGGCGCACGGCATGGGACGGTAAGGGCGCTGGGCAAGAGCACAGCACAGGGCTCCTTGTCACCAACAGAGAACACGTCCTAGAATAAGGTGGGGCCCAACCCAGTGGGAAGGCTTTTCTAGGACATGAAGCCCAGGAACCAGTTGCATTTAACACTGTAAAAGGTAAAACTCTCTATGACCCTGGGCAGGCATATGTCTACAACCCTAGCTGTTCAGTAGGCTGAGGCAGGAGGATTACAAGTTCAGGATCACCCTGGAAACCCATTGAGACCCTGACTCAAAATAATTTTTTTAAAAATCTGGAGATGTATCGCAGGGGTAGAGCATGCATACAGCATGTGCAAAGCTCTGCATTGAGAGCTCAGTATGAAAAAAAGTGAATCTCTATATGCATATCTTCAGGAGCTGGAGAATTCAGTGATTCCCCCCCCCCCCCCCCAGTACTAGGGACTGAACCAAGGCTGGGTGCTAAGCTACATCCCCAGCCCTTTTGTATTTTATTTTGAGACAGGGTCTTGCTAAGTCTCTTGAGTTGCCCAGGCTGGTGTCTAACCTGCGATCACCTGCTTCGGCCTCCCTCCACGCAAGGATCACAGGTGTAGTCTGCTGCCTTGAGTCCTACCCAACACCTGCCTGGTGGCGCAGTGACTCGGGGCCTCGGCAGGGGACGGGGGCAGGAGGGGCGCACCTGGGTGATGAGGAACTTGGTGAGGCGCTCGGGCAGCCGGCCCTTCTCGCTGGAGAGGATCATCTCCAGCATGTCCCCATGCAGCTTCTCCATCACCACGAAGACCTTCTCGGGTGTCTCGAACATGCATTCCAGGTTCACGATCCCTGGGTGCCGCAGACTCTGGAGGGCAAGGAGGGGTCCGGATCTAGATCTGCCCTGAACTCAGCCCTGAGGTCGGCCATGGAAGCAGGCGGACCACAGGAAGGGTGTTTCCCACGGTGGCAAATGGGGACACAGTGGAGACTCCCCAGGGCAGCACGCTCTGCCCCACCTCCTGCTGTCCCTGGGATTCTTCCTGTCATGACCTCAGCACCGGGAAGGCGAGGGCTGCGGGAGGTGAGGGAACAGAGCCTGGAGAAGCAGACAGCTTTGTAGGCTGGCAGCCTCGGTTTTTCTTATTTCTGTCTATAGCTCCTCACTCTGCACTTCCTCCCTTCCCCCAGGCCTGTCCCCGCCTGACCCCAATTCTCCTGCCCAGATTCCTCCCCAGCTCCCATTCCGCTACATCCCTCTCTACCCACCCTCCAGATGGCAGCCCCAGAGACATTTCTAAAAATCACACCTGATCCTGGCTTTCTCTTGCTCAACCCCTGCCCCCTTGTTTTCTTCTTTTTAAATTCTTAAACTTTTGGTGAGACCAGGGAGGCCCCCCAGGGCCTCGCACATGCTAAGAGACCCTTTATGATCAAGCCGCAGCCTCGGTGCTCAGAGTCCTTCTGAGGCCCCCTCGAAATTCCCGCCAACGCCCACAGCATCCAGAGTCACCCTCCCCAGGACCTGCTGGCATCACCTTCCCGACCTCGGTGCCTCCCAGGCCTTGGCACTGGCCAGCCCCTGCTCTGCCCATCCCATAAGCAAGCGGATTCCCTCCTCCAGGGAGCTAGCCGGAGCACGACTAAGTCAGTGCACCCAAAAGGCGGAAGAGGAAGGAAAGGCCCACGTGAGCAGGAGCAGGGCCAGGCTGTAACCCTGGCAGTACCTGGAGAATGGCGACCTCGTTGCGTAGCTGGCTCTCCTGCTTGGTGGGGAAACGCAGTTTATCGATGACCTTTACTGCCACATCCCTGCCGGTCTTCCGGTGCTTTCCTGGGTGATGGAAGTGGGAGGGAAGGG